CTGATTTTTTTTCTTCACAGATGCTGCCAGACCTGCTGAGCTTTTCCAGAAACTTCTGTTTCTGTTCCTGATTTACAGCATCTGCGGTTCTTTCAGTTTTTATTTAATGCCAGTGTGGAGGTTTGGTATATTACTCTGCTGTGTTCAAAGTAAAAGCAATTAGATATCTTGATGTAATATTGACTGCTGTGAAGCATAAATACCAGCACAATCCTTTTGGGCCAAATGGCTACCTTTTGTGTTTTTTAAATATGTCATAATATTAAATTTTCATTTTGGAATTAAAGAAGGGAAGGAGTAAAGTGAACAAAGCTTGTTTGGTATGACTGACAAAGATATTACCTTGGAAGTTATTTTATTGTCTTTTGCTGGAACATGTTGACTATCCAATGACAATCTGTTTCCTTCTTCAAGTGTTTGTGAGGTGGTATCAGACACAGAATTTATAAGTAAAAGATCAAAAGGTCACACAACTGATGAGGATGTATTAAACAAACATAAGATGCTGTTAAATATTTAATCAGCTAGAATGTTTGATTAATATATAAATCCCAGAACCCCTTTCAAGTCACTGCCCTGAGAGAACTAAGGGTTTTATCATTGTAAAGAAGAGGTGACATTTTAGGTCAGACAATGCATGTTTTGTGTTTTGGTTTGGAGTCTGATACCGCCTCACTAACACCTGAAGGAGGAGCGAGGCTCCAAAAGCTTGTGTTTTCAAATAAACCAGTTGGACTATAACCTGGTGTTGTGTGATTTCTGACCTTGTCCACCCCAGTCCAACACTGGCACTTCCACATCTATCTGTTTCCTAGAATTGTAATTAATTTATCCATTTGAAAGATTCAGCAGTATGAAGGTTATGGAGAAGCAGCAAGGAAATGTGTTACTTCCAATGAAGAACTAACATCTGCATTAAGACCAAGAACCACATGACCACAATCTGTGCTGAAGCTTCTATTGCTTTGAATAAAAAAAATCTGCAAATCAATTTGACTAGAATTTCTATAAATTTTCTTAAATTGTCAGCTAAAATATTGACAGGTTTTGGTGTTTTGATTTATTTTTATGGCACCACTGAGCCCTTAGGAGCACCAAGATCAGCATTTATTAATCTCCAGGCCCTTTGAAATTCAAAACGAACATAAATTAGCAAGTAAGAAATACAGTACCCAATAGAATTGAGTTGTTTGGGTTTAACAGAACTGCTTGACTTGGCTTAAGAGTTCGAAAACACCTGTGAACTATAATTTGGGATTCTTACTCTTTTGAGAACACTAAAAAAACATTTCGGGATTATTCTTCATAGACGATGCTGTCCATGCTCTTGACCCCTGTTGCTAATTGGTGAAGACCCCCATGAATGACTGGGAAGGAATCTAGTTACTGTCCCATATGTGTACCAGATTAAATACACTTTCACTCCAATGGAGTAGTTAGTTTTGTTTCCTAATTATTCTGAACAAATTCTGCAATATGTTGTAAAATATCCCAAGGGTAGTGTTTTAGTTTCTGTTGAAAGGCTGCAGGTAGATATGCAATTTGAGGATTTCTTGTTTGTGCATAAATATTTATGGAGATTTAAAATTCCTGTCTGCCGTACTGTTTAAAAAGCCAGCTGAAGAAGCCTCTATTTTAGTGTATCTTAGAGTTTTACAGGCTATTTTTATATATTCTATTACAAAAGCTATCCTTTTTTCCTTAAATTTCGAATTGGCTTTTTCTTTCTTGCAGGAGCAGAAAACGTACCCATGAATTTATTGAATCTGATTTTTCAGACAAGTAAGTACATCTTAAAATTTGAAGAGATCATAAAGATTATTTCCCCATTTACTTGAAAAATTATGTAAACCTTTTTTTTTGGACAACGCACTCTCTCAGGCATGAGAGTGCCTTGTCCATTTCGATTTACTTCCTGCGACTAAAAATAGCTTTTCTTTCAGAGGGCTGTAACCTTGTTGCACTTGAATGCTCTAACAACTGTCATGAAACACGTCTCAAGAGAATAGGGCATCTGGTCTTTTCCATTGCGGAGGCGCTGCTCACTTACATTGCAGGAAGCTTTCCTGCAAAATAAACTGCAGCATCCATGTATGCTTGGAAGAGGTGTCCATATTTGGACAGTAAAGCTTTGGGAACTAGTGTATTTGCTGTGATTTGTCTTCAGTCTTTGCAACATTTGCGTGTATGTTTTTCATGTCTGAAAGTGTATATGTTTGTAATAATATCTGTAATTAGCTTTCATAGAAGCAGCTTCTGATATATGTCTTTGTGCTTTTCACTTGTAAAAGGAAGAAAATTTTTCTGTGTTACCAATTTGGCAATTAATTGATGCAGCCACAACATGGAAGACTTTCTAAAATTTTAAGTTTTGCGCAGCTTATAATCTGATTTAAGGAAAGCCATGTTTAGCTGATCCACATCACAACTATTTTGTTTTGCAACTGTCCTCAATCCAGATAGCATAACTCACCCATGTTAATTTTATTTCAGTGCATCTTACTTATTGCAGCTTCACAAAGTAGAGATGGTGTTAGTAGTTGCGTACATTCAGTTTCTTACATTTGTAGAAAGTGACACGATATCGTATACAATCAATGCAAGCGGAACCTTTTTGTATCTCCATTAGTTGCAGCTGCTTCTTGTTTGTTAGCTTGGCGTGGTTGTGAATTTGTTATTCAGATTTTAGTGCCCTAATGTTAAAATGCACAATGAAAATCTCAGGTGCTTCACCAAATAAATTTTAAATATTTACAGACCCATTGATTCTGCGACAGACAAAGCTGTTAAGACAAAATGGAAGTAATTTTGCAGAAGGGTCTGTGATTTGGTTAGGCTTCAGCAATGGGGATATTGCAAATCCACAGACTTGATTCCTGTAGCTTGTAACTTAATTATATTCACAGACCAATGCAAAATTATTCTTCACACGTTCATAAGAAAAAGGGAAGAATTAGGCCATTCGGCCCATCGAGCCTGCTCCACCATTCAATCATGGCTGATATGCTCCTCACCCCCGTTTTCCTGCCTTCTCCCCATGACCATTCAACCCATTACCATTTAAAAATCTGTCTAACTCCTTAAATTTACTCACTATCCCAACATCCACCGCACTTTGGGGTAGCAAGTTCCACAGATACACAACCCTGTGGGAGAAGTAATTTTTCCTCAATTCTGTTTTAAATTTTCTACCCCTTATCCTAAGACTATGACCCCTCATCCTAGAATGCCCCACGAGAGGGCGCATCCGCTCCATGTCTATTTTATTTATACCTTTTATCACCTTGAATACCTCAATTTGATCTCCCCTCATTCTTCTAAATTCTAGACAGTATTGGCCGAAACTGTTCAATCTCTGTTCATGCGACAAACCGTTCATCTCTGGGATCAATCTAGTGAACCTCCTCTGAACTGCCTCCAATGCCACCACATTCCTTCCTCAAATAAGGGGACCAAAACTGTGCACAGTACTCCAGGTACGGTCTCACCGATGCCATGTATTGTTGCAACAATACTTTCTTACCTTTATATTCTATTCCTTTAGCTATAAAAGCCAACATTCCATTCACTTTGTTTATTATCTGCTGTACCTACATGCTAGTTTTCTATGACTCGTGAACGAGTACGCCCAGATCCCTCTGCACCGGAGCTCCCCGAAGTCTCTCCCCATTTAGAAAACAAGTCGCCTTCCTATTTTTCTGACCAAAATGCATGACCGCACACTTATCCACATTAAACTCCATCTGCCACATTTTGGCCCAGTCTCCTAACCTATCTATATCTATTTGTAAGGTTCTTATTTCCTCATTGCAATTTACCGTTCCATCTTTTTTTGTGTCATCTGCAAATTTGGCTATAGAGCCTTCTATCCCTGTATCCAAGTCATTCATATAGATTGTAAATAGTTGGGGTCCAAGGACTGGACCCTATGGCACCCCACTAGTTACCTCTTGTCATCCAGAAAAAAACCCATTTATCTGGACTCTCTGTCTTCTGTCCATCAACCAGTCAGCTATCCAAACTAATGAATTACCCTTAATCCCATATGATCCAATCTTGTTAATTAACCTTTCGTGCAGCACCTTATCAAACGCCTTCCGGAAGTCCAGATATATTACATCTATATTTTGCTTGTTACATCTTCGAGGAACTCTAGCAAATTAGTCAAAACATAATTTGCCTTTCATTAAACCATGCTGACTCTGATGGACTTTCCAAATGTCCTGATATTGCTTCCTTGATAATAGATTCTAACACTTTGCCACCAACAGATGTTAAAGTAACTGGTCTGTAATTTCCCACATATTGCCTTCCTCCCTTTTTGAATAAGGGCGTTACATCAGCATTTTTCCAATCCACTGGAGCCTTTCCTGTGTCCAGGGAATTTTGGAATATTGTGACCAATGGATCCACTATCTCTACCACCACTTCCTTTAATACCCTAGAATGTAGGCCACCAGGTTGGGACACTTGTCTGCCCTCAATCCTAATAGTTTGCTGAGTAGGTATAGTTTAGAGTTAAGGAATAGAGTTGGTACAGTTTAATGTGAATACATAAAAGTGGTCTATTTCTGATTTTGAATGGTTTTGTTTGTTCAGAATTCAGTTATGATTCAAATCTACAGTGGTAAAATTTGCTGGCAGATAGTATTTTATTTACTCCAACCCAATTTGTTTTATTTCCTTAAAATTTCCTGTTCTAAGTTTCAGTATTGCACTTTAACTTAAGTCATATTAGAAAACTGTTTAATGTGAACTCATAATAGGTCCATTCATCAGATAGTACTTGAATGCATTATTCATTTTCTTGGATAATAACCTGCAGACATTTACTATCAATCCCTTTTCTTCTCAATGTAAGCTGTAAGAATTGAGTGTATATAGACTGGTCACACAGGTTAATTCTGCCACTCTTGATCCCTGGACAAGATCAGGAACCGTGGTGGGTGGAAGCTGAAAGTAACTCTCCAGCCTTCATCTCGCTTATAGACAGTTCTTATGCAGGCAGAGTGTGATGGATGGGGGCAATGGCATTAACTATCTGTTTGAAGTTGGTATCGAGCATGGTCCTTTTGAAGGCTCCTTGAAGGAGGCTGGTTGGAAAATCCTTGAATCATCATATACCCAGACACAGCCATAGCGAGCTTAGGTGCATAGGAGCAGCCTCCCAGCAGCAGTAGACTGGTCAGCACTCCAGACAGGGCTCCAGGCTATTCCTGCTGGCCAGGGTGTAGGAGCGGCCATGTACAGAGGCTTCCCCAGTCACCGTGGTGGCGTGCCTGCAAAACCAGTTTTTAAATTTAAAGAAGGTCTAACAAAGGGAATACGTGTTGAACCATAGGACTCTGGGAAATACTGAGGATCAGAGGGACCTTGGTGTGCATGTCCACCAGTCCGGTAAAGTAGCAAGTCAGGTAGATAAAGTGGTTAAGAAGGTAACTAGGATACTTGCCTTTATTAGTTGAGGTATTGTATTTAAGAGCAAGGAGGTGGTGCCAGAGCGGAGCTGTATGAAACATGGGTCAGGCCACAGCTGGAATGTTGTGTGCTGTTTGGAACCTACTTTGTCAGAAGGATGTGATAGCACTGGACAGGGTGCAGAGGAGATATACCAGGATTTGCCTAGGCTGGAGAATTATAATTATGAGGAGAGATTGAAAAGGCTGAGGTTTTCCTTGGAGCAGAGGAGACTGGGGGAGGGGGACATGATTGAATGTGTAAAATTAAGGGAGACATAGCCAGAGTAGACAGGAAGAAACTTATTCCCTTGGTAAAGGGAATAGTGACTAAGGGCCTTGGATTTAAGGTAAGGGAAGGTGAGGATGTTTTTTTCACCCAGAGAGTGATGGGAGTCCAGAGCTCACTGCCTGTAAAGGTGCTAGAGGCAGCAACCCTTGTAACATTTAAGAAGTATTTAGATGTGCTATGAGCCAAGTGCTGGAAAACAGGATGAGAGTAGTTAGGTGCTTGTTTTTGATCAGCATGGATTCGATGGGCCAAACGACCTTTCTCAGTACTGTAGACTTCTATTGACTCAGGGCACCTCCTTTTTGAAGCATCCTGTCCTTTACTGACCCTCTTTGGGAGCTTGCTGGTCCTTTCAAAGCTGAACATCTTTCTGATTGACCCTCCTCCGGCTTCCGAGAGACTTCCTTCCTTCCTTAATTGCATGTGCCCCTGGATCATGAATTGCCCAGGCCAGGAGAATTCACAATGAAGGACAGAGGGTGGTGGTGGAGGGTTGTTTTTCGGCCTGGAGACCTGTAACCAGCGGTGTTCCACAGGGGTAGGTACTGGCTCCACTTTTGTTTGTCATTTATATAAACTATTTGGACGAGAATTTCAGAGACATGGTTAGTGAGTTTGTGGATAACACCAAAATTAGTGGTAAAGTGGACAGTGAAGAATGTCAACTAAGATTGCATTTGATCATTTGGGCCAATGGGCTGAGGAGTGGTAGATGGGGTTTAATTTGGATAAATGCAGGATGTTACATTTTGGTAAAACAAACGTGGGCAGGATTTATACAGTTAATGGTGGAGCCTTGGGTAGTGTTGTCGAACAGAGAGACCTAAGGGTTCAGGCACATTGTTCTTTGAAAGTTACGTCACTGATAGACAAGGTGGTTAAGAAGGCATTCAACACGCTTGCCTTCCTTGCTCAGACCATTGAGTATAGGAGGTGGGACGTTATGCTGTGGTTGTACAGGACGTTGGTGAGGCCTCTTTTGGAATGCTGTGTCTAGTTTTGATCGCCCTGCTATAGGAAAGATGTTATTAAAT